CCCTTCACTATCTGGTCACCAGAGAATAAAAGATGTGAGGGATTGTTATTTTTACACTAGAGTGAGTTACCCTACCCAATCACTAGCTTATCTGTTTGCAGTTTTGATCCAGAGTTCCTAATATCTTGTCATTTTACGGCTTTCCTAATACATATATTAATCAAAAATATGAATTAAGCTGGACATGATGGCATATATTTGTAATTCCAGTACTCAGAAGACTGAAGAAGAAGAATCAAGAGTCTTGAGTCCAGCCTGGGTTACATAATGAGACGCTGTCTTGTTTGTTTGTTTGTTTGTGTTACTAGAGTTTGAACTCAGGGCCTACACCTAAGCCACTCCACTAGCCTTTTTTGTGAAGTGTTTTTTTCCAGATAGGGTGTTGTGAACTATTTGCCTAGGCTGGCTTTGAACCTCGATCCTCCTGAGTAGCTAGGATTACAAGCATGAGCCACTGGCGCCCAGCGAGACACTACCTTTAAAAGTCAAAATCCTTGTTACATGGGGGGCTGAGATCTAGGAGGATCATGGTTTGAAGCCAGCCTGGGCAAAAAAAGTTAACAAGACCCCCATCTCAGCTACTTGGGAGGATTGTGGTTGCAGGCCAGTTGAGGCAAAAATGTTTATAAGACCCCATCTCAATAGAAAAGGCTGGACACCTGTTTTCCCATCTGTGGCAGGAAGCATAAGGATTGGGATCTAGGCCAGCCTAGGCAAAAAGCAGATCCTATGTCTAAAATAACCAGAGCAAAAAGAGCTGGAGGTGTGCCTCAGGTGGTAGAGCACTTGCTTGTAAGTGCAAAGCCCTGTATTTAAACCCCAGTTGCTCCCTACCCCCACTCAAAAACAATAATAATTATCTTTTTTTTGGAGGATGTCTGTTAAGTAGGTTGTTTAGCTGAGATGTTGAGAACTTCTCTAACTATCTGCAGGGCTTCATAGTCCAGAGATTTTTCTAATGTTGTCTTACTAATTGAAGAATATTCGTTATGAGGTAGAAACATACTTAAGGAAAATTGTATTATAGCAGTTTTAATAAAATTAAGATTTCTAGTTCTGTTTGTATTTAGTGTAAACTGTTTAAAATCATGTTTTTCATATTTCACTGTTGACTTTTTTCCTTAATTGTATATGGTTTTTCCTTGCAGGAAACGTGTTCCTGATCACCATCCCTGTTAAGCATTTGTATTTGCTGTTTCTCTCTGGACCAGTTCATAGCAAAGTTTTGTTTGAAAGACTTCAGTCTTTAAAGACAACTGTGGAATCTATGTGCCCATTATATCCTTAAGTTTGGGCATGTAGCTGACCTTCTGTTTTAACATGGGTCTAATTTGTTTGCTGTTTGATTTTCCACAAAAAGTTCATTTCTCATATTGTGCATTGAAATAAAATTTTGAACAATTACTTAGTTCTTATGTTTTATTGATTTGTACATACCTTACTTAATGGAGAAGAATGGTTTTATTTTCAGTATAGAGTTCCAGCTTAATGAGTGATTGACCTTATGTTTTTATAAAATAATTACCTTGTTAATACAAGCCCAAGTCAAGTGTGTTAAAACACATGATTAATCTTCTAGTTTTATTGCTGAACCATAGATACACTCAATCATGCATAGCTTTTACTGTCTAATTAATTTTGTTCAAAGTGCCATAAACTGGTACTGATTTAATCTTGTGTAAGTATCATCTCTACATTGGAAAAAATTATGATTTCTGTTCAAGTTTGAAAAAGTTGTTTTAGAAGTACTGATGATTCAACCCAGGGCTGCCTGCTTGCTTAGACACCTGCTCTACTGCTGAGTTATGGTTCCAGCAAAACTTTGTGCTTGCTAGGCAGGCACTCTGTTACTGAGCCACACCTCCAGCTGGTTTTGCTCTGGTTGTTTTTTGTCCAGGCCACTTGAACCACAATCTTCCTGTTATGCTTCCCACCACAACTGGGATATGTGCACCACCACACCCAGCTTTTCTCTGTTGAGATGGTCTTTGTTGCCAAGGTTGGAGTGGAACTGTGATCCTCCCAATCTCAGCCTCCTGCATGTGCCTCCCTACCCAGCTATTGGTTGAGGTGGGGTCTTTGCTATCTTGTTGCTGGGCTAGCCTCAAACCGCAATCTTCAGCTTCCCAAGTAGCCAGGATATCAGGTGTGAGCCACTGGTGCCTGATGAAAGAGTGTTTTTTAAGTTGCAGACTGCTCCAAGCACCTCTAATGCTTAATAGACTAACATTCTCTTTTAAATCTTTATTATTGTTAAGGGTTTTGTTTTTGGTAAATGAAAGAATCAAAATAGGCATAATAGGTATGTACTGAGTTTGGTTTAAATGTACCCAGTTTTGGAAGTTATTAATGTATCCGTATATTGGAGAATGCACAGGGAATGGGAAAGCCTAACAGCAGCTTACAAGTTTTTTAAGTGGACATCTCTGATAACGTCATGAAAGGATCTTCTGGTCTCTGAAAGGAGCAAAAGGATTTCAGATACACTCATACACCAGTTTTTTTTTTTTTTGAGGGGGTGCTGTCTACAAGTTCGTGTCAGTATTTTACTCTACTTTTAAAACTGGAAAAACTTGGTATTTGTGAAACTATATCCTCCAGTGTTCACCTAGAGGTGAGACTTCATATGATTATCAGAGAGTTAGACTGATTGTTTTAGCAGCATTAATACAGTACTGTCTGCTGTGTAAAAGTGCTTGTCGACTGAGGTAGGTAAAGTAGGTGAGCATATCGACTGAGAAAGCCTGCTGAGCTTTCAGTAGGAGAGGTGTTTGTCCCAAGTGTATATGGGTATATTTTCTCCAAAGACATTAAAGTTAGGCCAGTAAACATTAAAGCTTAACAGCCTAAAAACAAGTAGAAATGTGGGAACTGTCCAAGAATACTTTTGTGCCTCTTGCCCTTCCCCTTACCGATATTTTTTAGTTTTTTTAAATTTGCATACATTAATAGCTCAAGGGGATTTCACTGTGATAATTCCATAGGTGCATACAGTGCCTTCACCTTATTGTTTTTGTGGGATTAGAACCCAGGTTCCTTTGTATGCTAGGCAAGCACTCTAACTGAGCTATTACCACCACTCTCCGCCCCCCCAGCCTCTTACCTTTTTTGAATTCATGTCTTTTGAAACTTACCAATTTTATTGATTAAGGCCTAGAAAAATCCCAAGTCCACAGTTTTAAATCTTTAAAATTTCAGATCTAAGTACAACATAGATCCTCAAATTTAAGGGTGAAATTCAAACAGCAAGCATGGAAGTTATTTTCACAAGATCTTTATGGCATGAAAATGTGATAACACTAATGGTTACTATCACTGCATAGAATAATGTGTAAATGCTTACGATTTTTAAATGTAGCAACTTGGAAGACTTTTTTTCAGAATTTTTTCCCCATGCTGAGGATTGAACCCAGGGCTTCGCATATGCTCGGCAAGCTCTCTTAACCACTCAGCTACATATCCAACCCTATAGAAGCATAACTTGTATGCTGATTATTTTACTTTCTTCAGCCAGAAACTCGCTGTGTACTTGGAGGCCTCGAAGGCTACCCTTGCCAACTGCCCCACTCACAACTATTGCTGTGATTTGGGGTGCCAGCAGGAGATGAGGAAAGGTAATCTGCACTTTCTTCTGTCTTTGTCCCCAGGAGTAGCTGCATCTCTGTAAGACCTCCATGACATCTTTGGTTGGCATCCCCTTTCATGGCTTTCAGCTGGTAATAGATTTGGATAATGCTTTTTTTTCCTGTTCACTTAGCCGTTTAGGTAGGGTAGTTTAAGAACTGTTGAAGTATCTGGTTACTGTTACTTTCTGTTTTCCAGTTACCTGTCCGGTCCAGTCAAAATCCCTTTGTTAAAGCCTTTCCATTCAACCATACAGGGTAAATGCAGTTTCTTGCCAGGCTTCTGGATGATAGAGTACTCTAAACAAAGCCCTTTTCTAAAGTCTGCCTTGTGGAACTGGGGTTTGGACTCAGGGCTCCAAGCTTGCAAAGCAGGTGCTCTACCACTTGAGCCACAGCTTCCGCCCTCCTTTGTTCTAGTTATTTTGGAGGAGGGGGGGCGGGGCGGGGGGGGTCTCTTGAAATATTTACCTGGGCTGGTCTTGAACCTTGAACCTCTTGATCTCAACCTCCCAAGTAGCTAGGAATACAGGCATAGGCCACTGGTGCCCAGCAACAAATGTAAGCTTTTTTTTATAAATTAGAATTACTATTGAACTTTTCAAATTCCTAATATAAAGAATAAAGACAACTTAATTGTAAATTTCTTTTTTTTTTTGTTTGTTTTATTTTAGTTAATTTATGGTGCTGGGGCTTGAACCAATGCACACAAGTGATAACTGACTAACAAAGGGCAAAGCTTGGGATTTGAGTCCATATGATTCAAAAAGCCTAGATTCTTAGCCATGATGCTATTGCTTATGGTTTTCTGTGCTTTTGAAGTTGATTTTTGGATCTAAAAAACTACATTGATGTTGCATTTCAGGACAAAATAAAGCAAACATGGTTGCTGATTCCATTAAATGTTTATTAAAGATTTTATTTGGAAGTCGGGAGCTGTGGCATGTGCTAGTAACCCTAGCTACTTGGGAGGCTGAGGCAGGAGGATTAAGTTTGGGACCAGCCTGATCATTGACTGGGTTCTTTTAACAAATACCTTATTTGAGGAACTCATAAGCCTCACTCATAACCACCCACTTCTGGGGAATGGAGGAGGCCAAAGTGTCCCAGCCCTTCTTGCTCTTCAGTGTTTCAAAATACTTGCTTGGAGAAGCTGTTTCTGCTGCATAGGTCATAGTCACGCTGGGTTACCACACCACCAATTTCCCTTTGGAAGACATGCTATGGGCCAGAAAGTTTATGTTCTCAATTTCCCTTTATGGCATTTCACCTGGCTCTCCATCTACCCCCTCAAGTGACGCCGAACAATCCCATTCTAATGGAGAATTCTTCTGAATGTGAGGTCAGTGCCAAGGACCTATCCTATCCTGCAGCTACTCAGGAGCTCATAGGAAGGAGAGGAGGCAGTGAGGCAGGTGTCTGTGGCTCCTGGCTTTCTTCGTTAGCCAGTGCATAGCGCCTGGCTTTCCTGGGGTCAGGCTCTGGTGTCTCCTCTGCCCATCTTCCCACACGGCGCACACCTTTGCTCACCTTTGGTGCATTTCTGCAAGGATTGTGGTCATAGATGACCAGCTTCAGACTTGACAGGTGGGCCAGGCTGGGAAAGTAGCGGATGCTGTTCTGGTCCACATCGATTACCTCCAGGAAGGGCATGTGGAGCAGCACAGTGGGGAAGTCTGTCAGCAGATTGCCTGACAGCCAGATGGTTCTCAGCTCACGCAGTTGCTGGAGCTGGCCTGGCAGCAGACGCAGGGCATTGGAACCTGCATGCAGGGTCTTAAGGAGACTCAGCTTACACACCACATCTGGCAGATGGGTGAGGCAATTGTCCTCTATCCATAGGGTCCGGAGGTTCTGGAGCAGGCTCAGCTCGTTGGGAAGGTCACAAAGTTTGTTGTTACCCAGGTAGAGGATGCAGAGCTGTCTCAAGGTGCACACCACCTGGGGCAGAACCTTGAAGTTGTTGAAATCCAAGGCCAGGATCTGCAGGTTCTGCAACTGACCCAGCTCTGGAGGCAGGCTGTTGAGGTGGTTGTCACTCAGGTAGAGCTTGACCAGCTCCCTGAAGGAGCACACACGCATTGGGAAGCGGCGCAATTGGCTTCCACTCAGGTCTACCATCTTGTCCAGTGGCATCTCTCGGAGATCTCCAATCACATAGTTCTGGCAGCGGTTAGTAGGAATGAAGGCCACAAGGGCCTTGATGGTGTTTCCCATATGAAAACATGCGTGGTGAGACCCCACCTGCCGACTCACCCCAAGAGTGGAGCTGGCTCTGCTGACTGCTTTGGGGCCCATCCTACCTCCCTTTATAACCTGGAGATTGTGTGACAAAAGCCAGTCACTTTGACAGAGAAAAGTGCTCCTGATAGCAACTTGAGTGCTGGGTGACTGGTCCAACTGCGACAGGCAGGGTCTAGGAGACTATGTCTGACTCACATACTTGCCTTTAATCGCTGAAGCTCCAAACCCCTTATCTTCTGGGTTTTTTTTTTTTTTTTATTACAAGCTGAAAATAAATACAGGTTTCTTTTCTAATGATAAAATGTTGAGACATTACACAAAGGTGCAAAAGAAGAAAGTGAAAAAGCCCACTCTACTACACAGAAATATTATAAACATTTCAACATATGGTTTTCTAACCATTTTTGCTACGATTGATCAATTTGTTTAAAAGTTACTCTATGAATTTTATCTCTGTCATATCCTGGACATACTACTATGCTTGTAGGTATCTACACAATTACTTTAAACACTTGCACAGTATTCCAGTGTAGCATATACAGTGATTTAAGCAGTTGTCCACGTTGCACATCTGGGTTACTTACAATGTGACTGTTATAAGCATCCTTGTATATACAAATGTGAGTAGTGATCCATAATTTCTGTAGGAAATGTCATTACACGTGTTATAGCGTTAAAGGTTTAAATCCTTTAAATGTTTTTCATTTCTTCATTCTCTCCAGGTAATATCTTTTCACACTTTAAAAACTTATTTTGGGGCTGGGGCGTAGCACAGTATTAGAACACTTCCCCAGCATGATGAGGCCGAGCACTGCAAAAACAAAACAAAAAGACCCTTACTTTTGGCAAAAGACAAGTGGAGAAATAGAAGAAAGAAAAGAGAAGGACTAGCCCTCTAAAATTAAATGCGTTAGGACGTGCTTCTTAGTGCAACTGTGCCAGATGTGTATGAATGCCCATCAAAGGTCTGTCTTGTCCATAGCACCCAGTTGTAGGGAAGCAGTGATCAGTCAGAACACTTCCCAGGACTGGTCTAGAACGGGGATCTTAAGTCCTGGCCAGTGGAACTGGGGGCAGAAGTATTTGCAGACATTTTACAACAAGCCTCTCACCCTCCTTCACACCTTTCACATGTGCTGGCTGGATATTGTCACCCTGGGTAACTTTAGGAGCCACAAGTAAGTGGAAGTGACATGCTGAAGTTGGCAGGTCCTTAGGTCACCCTGGATTCCTGAATGAGTGCTAGGAGCAGAATACCTCCCCCGCCCCCCGCTTGCCACTCAACCACCGATTGGATTTAGGTAAATGAGAAGCCAACTTTTAAATCATAGAGATCTAGGGACTGTATCTGCTACATTTATAGGAAGCAATTCTACAGATACTGATTTGGAAAAGTGTTTAAGATAAATTTGGAAGAAAAAAGTGACATTCAGGAATTGTTTTATGATCCCCATCTGTGGAAAAATATGTATGTATTCATGTGAGTGCATAAATATATGTTAGAAATAACAGTGGTTATCTATGGGGGATCTGCCTGGAGATTTGGGGGAGTTGGGATATTGGTTTTTTCTTTCACACCCTTTGTTCTCTTTGACTAAAGAAAACAAACCTATAGCATATATTATTTTAAAATGTTAGTCCAGAAAACAAAACAAAACAAACAAACAAAAACAATCTATCAGCCTACCTGCTTTCTGGGAAGCTTGTTTGGGTTTGGGAGGAATGGCTTCCTCTTGAACCTCCTGCAACGCCTGTACTATAACAGACTGGGCAGAGCCATGACAAGGAGCATTCATATGGATGGTTTTACAGGGTCGTTTGGTGAAGCAGCATCACTACCCACTTATCACAAGATCATGACTGAGGGCAGTGTTTGTGTGCTTTCTTACAGTTTGAATGTCAAAGGCTATTATCTTGAACTCTTTCCTTGCTTTGCTTATTTGCATTATATACTAGTCTCTCAACAGTACCTCTATATTTAGCATGGTCACTGGTGACCACAAATGGTCATGAAGCAGCTACCCTGTTGTCACCCCTAGAAATGATAATGATAAAAAATATTGCTACTACTTATTACTTACTGAGCATCTGCTCAGTGCTAAGCACTGTGTCAGGTGCTTTGGGTATATCAGGTAAATACTTACAACACATATAAATATGTTTTGTCCCACTTTTCAGATGAGAGAATTGTGGCTCAGAGAGGTTCCTTAATAACATCAAATATTTATTGAGCAACCACTGTGTTCGAGGTGCAAAGAATCGGTAACTAAGTCGCCTCCAATACCTTTACTGTAACAGAGTAATGAAGCCTTTTTGTTTCCAATTTGATTAAAGAAAAGTGAAAAGAGAAGCAGGAAAAGGGGAAGTCCCTCTGTCCAAAGTTAATGCTCAGGGAGAAACATAAGTACTAAAATTTTTTTAACAGGAAAGATTTTAGAAAGGTGTGAAAGAGGATGGTTACTGAAGTCTGCTTTGTTGAAGATGGCTTTATGAAACAACGACCCTAGGTATGAAAGATTTCAAGAACCACGTAACTGAACTGAAACCACGTTTTGCCTGCCAATATTTGGTGTGAAAAAGAATCCTTCATTCCCACTATATACAATTTAGGTTGTTATTACTAAAGGTACAGCCATGCAGGTGAATGTAAGCTAGTTAGGCACTGTGACCCAAGGAGGCATGGTAATTTGGGGGAAATCTGCCCAGGTCACCAACAATCCTGAAAGTGATGGGTGCATAAGTGTATTCTTAACTGGTTTGGCTGCAGTTTCATCAAGCAAGTTCTTAGCATTATGGAAGACAACAAACCAGAAAAACTACCATTACTGTGATATGTCTAAATATTTCCAAACAATTTGTACACTTCTGCAAAGAATTACTTATTAAATTATTTTTTAAAAAACCCAAACATTAAAATGGTCCATTTTACCAAAACAAAACAAAACAAAAAATCAAATGGAATGTTAAAATTTTGGATGAGCTGTTAAAATTTTCACCTGTGCTTGACTGAACTTTTTAATACCTAACAGTGTCACTGAAGCTGTGTCTGCCAAGATGCATCCAGGGGCCATGGGTGGGCGGGTGGGTGGGGATATCACAGACTGTGTGAGAAGAGAGGTAGGAAGGATAAAGCTGATTTTGATGTACCTCAGTGTTTGGCCCTCACAAACTGGCACCAACTGTATGGGATGAGCTAGATAAACTCCAGAAAAACTGAAAATAGCCTACCCCAAAAGTGAAGCACTCTCATGTGTACACACTGCATACACACACATCTTAGAGAAAAGACAATACATATTGCAAAAGACAGAGGAAAAAAATATGGAAAATAGAAAATATAAAATGATTGGTTTGCTTTCTGGCGAGTTCACTTTGAGATATAGTTGGCTTTTCTTTTGTGTGAGCTCATGGTGATCGCCATGCTGGATGCAGAGAGAGACTGGAGCCCACAGGTGGAGTCCTGGGTCTTCCAGAAGCAGGCCAGAATCAACCCTGTCTATCCAGTGTGCATTTGACCATTGGCACCTGTTGGAGTTGAACCCAGACTCCTCCACTGAGGGGTTTGTTCTAACCATGGTTCAGAACCAACTGATTGTTGAAACTATTCCAAGCATTGGGGGGATAAAGGAGAATGATGGAAGGGATGAATTTAACTAAAATATATTGTAAGTACTTTTGTAAATGTCATAACTACCCCCAGTACAACAATAATATGTTAATAAAAAAAAAACAGCCTATATTGGTTTTCAAGCTACTTGTTGGAGATTTTCAAGGAAATGCTTTAAGGTACAGTTCTGGTGTTGTGGTTCTTAATTTCAATGCAATGGAAAACATCTTTGGGTGATTTGGATGAAAAGGAATTTATTATAAGGTATCAGGAAGCTCTGCTACAGGCAGAGTCAGTGTCCTATACTGTGGTGTAGAACTTGCCTTGTGTAAGTGTCAGGGTCAGTCCTCCTGGTACTGGTTGCTGCATCCTTTTCTGAATGAACTTTTTCCAGCTGTGACTTGCTTCTTTGCATCACTAGTAGTTAAACAGGGGCCCAAAAGGGAGGACTTACTGGTTACATGCTCCACCTTTAAAATGGAGGCTAGAGTTGAGTTTTCAGATTCAATAACAAGGAGTGGACTTTTTCCACCACCACCATTCATAAGGTGAGGAATTCCCCAAACATGGAAAGTGACTTGTATCCTCACAGTCAAAAAAGGATCACAAACACCCTTCATGACTTGTCTGGGGTCCTATTCTCACCCTCCCACGGCTGTCTAACCCTGCACAGGTTATTTTTCTTTCTGTGTCTATAGGACTATTGTGGACAGTTTATTAAAGCAGACTTAAGATAGAATGCATGATGACTTCCAGAGCAGGGGCATGACTAATTTTCTAAAAAATTGCATAGTGTTAAAAAGACCTTCGATGGAAGGCTTATCATCTTTGGACCTTCAAAAGAATCTAGTCACATTTAATGCGACAGCAGTTGACAGTACAACTTAGGCAGGAAAACATGTCAATTAACCATTACCAATAAAATTTATTGAAATGACGTGAAAACAGTCCATCGAAACACAACTCCTACTAGCTAGCATTTGGTTAATTTGGTTCCATGATTTTAAAAGTTAAAAAAAAAGAATTTCCTTTTATGATATTCTTTGTGAACTCTTTCACTATTGTATTTTGGTTAACAAGGTGGCTGTAGAATTTAGTGTTGAGAGCAAAGACTTTGTCATTAAGGAGACCTTTTGTGAGTTGAATCTGAACCTTGCCATAATATTTGTTGCAGGGCTGTACATAAAATTTCTGTGCCTGGGGCACATCAACTGTGAAGTGGGGATGGTCCCCGTTGTCCATCTTATTGGGTTACTGTGAAGATTAAATTAGTAATGCACTTAAAGTAATTAGCATTGCCTCTGACAGCAGGTAGTGCTTACTATGAGCTGGATGCTTATTTATGATGCTGTACTGGGTTCCTGTA